TGCATGACGTGCAAAAATTAAGTGAATATAAGTATATACGCATGATTGTCACTTTTTATCAAAATCATTTTTATAACGAATTTAGAATCAGATTTGGGACTCCTCAAGCTAACAAGAACAAGAAATAATAATTATAAAACCCTTGCTGGCAAGACAAGAATCAAGCTAACAAAAAATGAGAAAGGTAAGAAGTAAATTAACTTCTGAAAATTCGTTAGCCATTCGGCAAAATAGGTTTATAAATCTTCTGGAAGTTTTATTACTCCAGCCGTCACTTTAAATAGCTAAGACTATACACGGAGAAAATGAAAAGCGAAAATTTACTTCAATATTACAACGATACTTACTATTTGTCCCACTAGTCCGTTGCCTTGTAAGTGAAAATAATAAAAATTAAAATTTGAACCACTATTTGTACAAATAAAATCCCAGCAGAGATAAATTTACTAGCTATTTTAATTGATATTACAAATTAAATTGTAATAATTAAGAAATTTCAAATAATTTTTAAAGAATATAGTTTCTAGTGAGTTTCTTTGTTTTTGTACGCCATTATTTAGTTATCTGCTGTATTGTTCCTTTTTTATTTTCTAAAAATAAAATTTGGTGGATGCGTCTGGACCTCTGTAATTGTGAATCTCTGAATTAAAGATACTTGTTCTTTTAAAAGCAATTGAACTAAATAGTTAGCGATAAAATCAGCGGAATCAGAACTTTGTCTCTCTTAATTTGGTAAATGCAATTAAATGAGTAGTTAGTTCAATTCGATTTTCGCGATATTTCGTTCTAATGGCGCTTGTTCTCTATTATAAATCAGTAACATCTCAAGCTCATTTACATTCCTTTTTGCCAGTAGCGATTTTGTTACTTTAAAATCTAGCTTCGGTTTTTCATAATTCTTTTATTGAAAAACACTAATAAATATTCAAATTAGACAGCTAACTGTAATTTAAATTGTTGTGTTCTTAATTAACATTTCAGGTTTTCTGTATAAATAAAGTCTTACGGATTTTAAAAATGTAAATGTCTAAGTATCGATACATTTTAAACGAATTTATAAAAGATTCACACGTAATTATATTCATGTATTTCCATTTATTGCTTCTTAAGTTTGCAATTGTTTCATTTTTTGATTGATTGTTTTTCAGTTTAGAGGTGCATTTTCCAATTTTCAAAAATAAAAATTACTGTTCTTGTTATTTTAGTTTACGTATTTATCTGTTAGAATAGATACACGCAAAATTCCCCTTTAATATTTGAATTGACATGAAATTTGGCACGTAATCAGATTTCAAAGAAGTACGGATTAAGACTAATAAGTCATACGAAAAAAAAATATAATTTATTTAAACGACATCCCCGCCTAATCATTATAATCTAGCACAATCTGCCACATAAGATAATTAAAACGTTTGAGAGCAGGATTTTAAAAGTTTTGTTAAATGTGTTTAATAGTTTCTTAATAAACAATATAAAAATTTTATACCGAATTGCGAAGTAATAAGGGAAAACCAAAATTAATTCCTAATACCAAAGAAAAGTACCTATATCATTCATCCAGCTTTCTCTTTTGATAATTAATAAGTATTACATATTTGTTGGTATTAGTGTTTTATGTATTTATTTAAAAAATACATAAGAATTCTGTACTATACAAAATCAAACTACGAAAGTTTTAATTTAAAAAATATTAATAGAACACTCAAAAGTATATCATCTGAACTTGATGCCACAGATTGTCAATAAATTTTGTTTAAAATTATTATTAATAAAAATTTCAGAGGTAAAAGTGAAGAATATTTTTTGACTGAATCTTGACTCTTCTAAAAGAGATATGCTGGCATCTATATGATCAGTCCTTTTAAGTTGAACTCTGCTTATCACCGTTTTACCACATTGTTCACGTTTTTATTCATAGTTTATTAATTTTATTACATTAACTACGAAGAAATTATTAGGCCATTTTACTTTTCCAATTTGCTACGAAAAGTGATCATTGATGATAAAAATATTCGTACCATACAAATCTCTAAGTAATCCTTCATGAGGGCTTTCGTTTGAGTCTGCATATAATTCTTTTTGGGGTTTATATTTTGATATTTACCTACACCTAGCAAATTTAATAAAACCCCTTTCCCATATCACACATATTAGATGGGATGCATTGAAGGTATGCAAATATAAGTATATTGCGCTTTACCAAAGAGATAATTCTTGTTATGGACGTGTTACTGTAGTGGTAGGGAACTTTATATTAAAATTTCTATTGCTGTTCGTAGTTTACGTTTTTCTTTCTAAGTTGCTTGTCAATTCGAGAAGGGTATCTTAGTTTCTGACATTTCGAAGCAGTAAACTCTGTCTTTTACTAAATTTTAGAATTTTACCTGCATTATTTATGCAAAACTCTCTTTCTGAGGCATTATTTATTAGCTAAGTGAAATACGCGCAAACTCGTATAAGAAGTTTTCAAGAAAGTTCTCTCGTAGGTTGTCTACTCCTTTCCGTTTAATCCTGCTATGTACGGCATATATTATATAAATTAGAACTTTAAAAGTAATTATCTTAAGACACTTTCCATAACTATAAATTGTCAAGAAATATAGATAGGTAGATTGTAGGTAGCGTGAATTTTTCTCATTTTGTAATTGCATTTTTGTTCATGAGGACAGACTGACTGGTCTTTGAATCTTTAGAAGCAGTTTTCTTTTTCATATATAAACTGTCTTCGGTTATTTATGTTTATATAATATTTTATAATAATTGCTTATTTGTATCACTTATTTGGGAATGTTCTCGAGTTTTTTGGAAAAGAGACTTCTGGAATCTTCTCGTAATTCTTTTGTATTGAAGTCTTGTATGTAACATATCATTGGCTTATAAGATGAAATGCTTCGTGTTTTTTCTCTACTTGTGCTAAGGTCTTCTTTTATAACAAACAAACTGTAGATTTTGATGACAAGTATTTAAATTTAATTTTTTGTTTATGAATATGAAAATCGACCCAATTTACACAATAGTCGATAATTGATTGCATTTGTACGCCAATATTGAATTAAATTTGGGACAAAAACATTTCGGAATTGTTAACAATTTCCTTCATTTTCCCCACAATTATACGTATGTACATACATGATTACATATGAGTTTATATAGTATAATTGAAAAGAAATTTCAATTTTCATTTACATATTTAGTGATTACAAAATATGAGTGCATGTTTTATTGAATTCCAAATGTACAAATAGATGTTCTAGCATTTGGTTTAAAAATGATTTTTTCGCGGGAGCAGTTTTTAATTAAAATAGTCTGTTGTTTTGCACACGATTGCGGTTGAGGTTGATTGATAGTTTGAAGTTGTAACAGCTGATAGGAAAAACCGATCGTTTAATTTTCAAACCATTAAGCGCTTACTTATCTCTTCGAATGGTAGATAATTGCAAATTAAACACAATTCGAAATCCAGATTTTGTTATTTTTTTTTTTGATACTGTTGCATTCGTCTCATTCAGCAGTCATTAACAGGATAACGTTTAATCCGTTGGAAGACCTCGATGAAACGTTTTTCTCTGGTGAATTCTGTTGTTGGTAAAAAATAATGCAAAAAAATTTGACGTGATCAATAGCGTGAAAGGAATTTGAAGCAATTTAAAAGCAACAGTGTAGAGTCAGCATTTTTTGTAGATTCGCAAAGTCATTGTTTCCTTAATCATCACTAGTCTTATAAAATATGTTTTTTTTTTTTTACTGATATTCAAAGAAGAAAAATTACAATATAATTAAATTTATGAACCTAACTATATGAAAATTAGTATAAGATGACTTGAGATAAGGGATGATATCGGTGGTATACAAAAAAATATTAGAGAAGACTTTTCATCTGCTTGTGGAAAACTTTGTATGACTTTAATATGTCGTAGAATTTCATTGTGATGCTATTAATTTTTCGGTTTCGGTTGTATGAGTTTTAATTTATCTGCAAAGCTCACGAAATGTGGACTTAAAATGAAAGCCTTACGACTGAAGTTCGAAAGATCGATAGTGTTACAATAACTATAGGGTTCCACTCAAACGCTTATAGGTTCCGTTCGTCAACGCTACAAACGCTCACGGCTCCCTATTAGCGATCGGAAATTTATATTGAAAATAAAAACTGAGTAATACAAATATGTTTCTAAATGTAATCTTTATATGTTTTTGTTTTTATTTAAATTTATATCTTATGTGTATAAGGTTTTTATAACAAGGGCAGCGACGCACCTTGTGCATGAGATGTAATAGGTGTGTAATATGATACATTCCACCCCCTCCCTTAAAATGAGATTCTAGGTGTTCTACCGAAGGGTTCCACAAGATAAATTATCTCAAAAAAGAGTTTCATTGGTTGACAAAGGTTGAAGAATTCAGCTCTAGATTATATGCTTATAAATACATATAGCGGTCAAAATGATTACCGGTTCACCTGACTATCTTCAGTTTCTTTTTTTCATTCCATCCACCTTCCATCCATTGACACGATTCTTAAAAAACTTTTGGGTGTTTCATTTCCACCAGCCAGTAATGCTGGTGGGCGGGCAGTGTCTCCGGACTATGTCGGAAGGTAGGGCGGAAGGCCCTCTTCAGCCTGCTTTCAGAAATCGTGGGAATGGGTGGGTGGTGGTTCGGGTGGGAAAGATGAGACGGACGAAATGAAGACAGACGAGAATGAAAGATTATCTGTGGAATATTACTGCTTCAGCATTTGCCTAAGTGATCCAAGGAAACCACAGAAAAACTTGGACCAAGGCAGACGGACCCGGAATCGAACCGGCGTCCTCCCGAATACTAAGCAATGGTCTAGACCTCTAGGCCATGTCGCTCGGTGACACGATTCCTAAAAGGAGACTGAACATAGTCTTCTGCTATAGATTGGAAGGACTATCCGCCCACCATCAGCATAACTAACTGGCACAAGATTTTTTCCTAAAATTACTAGTTAAACGACTGTTTTTTCTTTGTTTCAGGATATCCTCAACCTCAGTACAGGTGGTTAAAGGATGGTGAACTGCTCACCGACCTTTCGACGGAATCTTTCTACCGGATTTTGTCGGCAAAACACGAAGATGAGGGCAGCTACAGGTGCATCGCGTCGAATAAAGTTGGTTCAATTGTCAGCGAAGAAATAAGAGTCAGCATCGCATGTAAGTCTTATAAATAATTGGTTTGATTGTTGCATGGTTTATCAACCTCCATACATTCCCATTGATACCGGTACCACACGTATAATACCCACACATACGTATGCCTACACTGCAGGGACAGCTTTTGATAAAATATTGCGGAATAACAAAGTTACCGTTGCGCTATTGTTTCTTGTACTACGATTTACAACAAATTGTTTCAAAAATTTATAAAACTGCAACATTTATATGCTGTAGAGTTAAATTTATAAAAAAAAGTAAAGTTCTAATTTTTGCTTGCAATAAAAATCGGTAAAATTCTCTGTATAAAACGAAAATTATAGGGTTGTTCGGAAAGTCATTTCGTTTTTTTTGTGGAAATGAAAGACAGTTTTCGTATAATAAACAAATACTTTATTAAATTATATATTGACCGTTCTGGTCCAACACCTTTTGTCATCTTTCTGGTAGTAGCATAATTCCACGCTCATAAAATTTTTGGTCTTTGCTGGCAAAAAACTGATCGAGGAGGTTTTTGACCTCCTCATTTGAGGTGAAGGTTTTACCGTCTAAAAAATTTTGGAGTGACCGGAACAAATAATAATCCGATGGTGCCAGGTCTGGAGAATATGGTGGGTGTAGCATTGTATCCCATTCAAGCTGTAAAAGCTTTTGGCGAGTGACCAAACTTGTGTGAGGTCTCGCGTTGTCTTGGTGAAACACTACACCTTTCCTGTTGATTAGTTCTGACCTTTTCTGTTGAAGTGCATCATTCAGTTTGTCCAGCTGATGACAGTAGACTTCCGAATTAATCGTTGTGTTATCCGGTAAAAGCTCAAAAAAAAAAACGATTCCTTTAAAATCCCACCAAACAGACAGCATCACCTTTTTTTGGTGAATATCGGCTTTGGAAATGGTTTGAGCCGGTTCATCTTTTTTGCTCCATGACCTCTTGCGTTTGACGTTGTTGTATACAACCCATTTTTCGTCCCCAGTGATGATGCGCTTCAAAAACGGATCATTTTCGTGACGTTTGAGAAGCGAATCGCAGACGTCAATGCGGCGACACAGATTTCTCTCTGTGAGAACATGGGGAACCCATACATCGAGCTTCGAGGATAATCCCAGGCCTTTCAAGTGGTCATAAACTGTTGAATTTGATAAATTTAACCTCAATCCGATCTCACGTGTTGTTATTCGCCGGTTCACATCAACTAATGCCTTTATCGCGTCTTTATCAGCTTCAACCGGCCTTCCCGAACGTGGTGCATCTTCGACATCAAAATTGCCGGATCGAAATTTAGCGAACCAGTTCTGGCACTGGCGTACTGTCAACACACCTTCTCCATACACATCAGTCAATTTCTTTCTGGCTTGAACAGCATTTTTACCCTTTCTGTAGTAAAACAGTAAGATATGTCGAAAATGCTGCTTATCGCTCTCCATATTTAAAAGGGCACCAACCAAAAACTACTGCGTAGAATTAATTGGAATTTTTCACACACAAGCCTTGCTATATGAGCTCTCAAAGCATATAAAAATTATACGGCTTAAATGTGATGTTGGGTGCAAAAGAATACAATTAAATCCTCTGTCGGGAAAAAACGAAATGACTTTCCGAACAACCCTATATTTTCGAAATCTTAATAATTATCCTGTAAAAACAAGATATACCATACAAGTAGCCTACCACACAATAAATTATTGCGGTGAATCCACCAATATTTTATTACAAAAAAAACATGGTTTATCCTAAACACAGAATACGTAACGAGACAGGGCTTTTGTATATTACTCACTCCGTTTCTATTCAAAAACTAGATATGGGAGTGTTCAAAATCCAAACGGAAACATATGTGACAGTCGAGGCTGGACAAGCTGCAATATTAGATTTACCTCCAATCGAATCTTCTCCCGAACCAGATGTTACCTGGCAAACTGATAAGGGACCTGTGCCATATGCGCAAAAATATGCCAAATCTAAAACTAATCAATTAATCATTTTGTCAACTGACCCATCCGACACCGGGGCTTACAGGTTTGTCTCAATGACACTTAATAATTCCAAAGATAACAAATAAACTGCAAGTTGTTGTTGCTTCTTTTATTTACAAACGGACAGAACAAATTAAAGTGTTGTCGATAATTACCTATTTGTGTTCATGTAAAGTTATCGTAGACGTACTTATTTATACAAATTACATTTGAACAAGTGCTTACACTTACGATTAGTAAAATCAGAAGCCATATGAACTTTGATCAACGAAACCTTATACGTACATATTTTACCTTTGTACTTTCGTATTTTAAATGGATTTCTAACTTCTACGTGTTTGTTAAAATATAATATTATATGTATTTAAATTATTATACAGAAAACAAATACTACACTGATGGTGGTAACCACCAGCTTATTGAGTACAGCGTTGCGGCTCATAATTTTTACCAGGACCGGAATTGAATTTACCTGTACTTTTAACAACGTTTTTCGAACTTGATAAGCTTTCTGACATACAATCGTTTACTTAATCTTCATGTTTTATAGTACTCTGTCATCTCCTGCAAGCGCTGCACTTATTTCTATTACACTGTGGATAAATAGACTAAACAAATTGACTGCGTAAAAAGTTCAGAAATTCAGTATGGATATTTGATACTGTCTTAACTTATTGTATTTTTGGATCACGATTCAAAAAAGAAACTTGCAGTAAAAAAAAGGTAGCATAAGTTTTGTAAAGAAGTAGATTATGTCTTTTTTCAAAATATCCGCTTGATATTTAGATGGATACAGTACAACACTTGCAGTTTTAAAAATATCTTAATAGAATAGCTACTGCTTCCAAACTTTCCTAATTGTTTAATATTAGGGCTCGCGCAATTAATACTCAAGAAGGTAAAGAAGAAAACAGTGCTTTCATTCGATTAAAAGTAGAAGAAAAAGATTCGGATACATTTGCGGAAGTAGCTCCTGAAATAATAATTAAACCACAAGACGTCGAAATAGTAAAAGGTGCGGGGCAGACAACCCTCGATTGCATAGCTAACGCTCGACCTCTTCACGCCCTCGAAACGTTGTGGTTCAAAGATGGAATACTTATAGAAAATAGTGGAATTTCGTACACTTTAAACGACCTATGGAACAGAAGCTTAACTTTAGTTTCAGCAAATTTAAGTCATACAGGTGAGTTTTGCTAATTTTTGTATAAATAAATAAATGATGCGTTAAAATTAAAACTGTAATAGTTGCTACAATTTTATTACCAACTTGTTACAAGCTTATAAATTGTGTACAGTAGAAGTACTTTATTCGCGGGGTATACGTTTCATAAATATGCCGCAAATACAGAAACCGTGGATATGGAACGGTAATTAGGATGGAATAATAGGGGATACGTGCGAAGGTTCCAAAATAAAACCAGTATGTGTCTAAATAAAATCAATGTATTAATAAATTTGCAATTAAAATTAATCGTTATAATCAGCTTTAGGCAAGAGTTTAAAGAATTTAGTAATTTTTTTTTATTTTGAATTTTGAAATTAGTCCACTCGGTTACATCTTTTATAAAAGTCGCCCCGGCACGGTATACTATTCAAAAGATGCTGATACGTTGAAAAATAACACATATTTTCTACTCGGTTAGAATTTTTATAAAAGCCGCTTCGGCACGTACCAACTGTACATACTCAAAAGATGCCGATACATTAAAGGCATTCAGTAGTACACGCGCCATAGAGTAAAAACATGCTTATCGGTTCTAGATATCATGAGTTTAATATTCGGAACACAGGTTTGAAATTTTGTAGTAAGATAGATAAACCTTTGTTCTAAAGCTTGTCGAACGCCATTTTTTAATTTTTTAATTTCTATTGAAAATACGTGTCCTACAAGAAGCATCAACTTTAAGAACTTGTAAAAGCTTTTAATGACCATATTACTGAAAACCAAAAACGTAACGAGTTAGTGTGAACCTTTGTCTGTTATCGTACAAAAAATTAGATATTTATCTCGCAATGTTAAATCACAATGCTTATAATAGAAACCCATGTTTTCGGAAAAATTCACACTAGGCATGTGCGGTCTATTGCGGTCAATCCCCTTAATAAATGACACCGAATCCTTTTCTGTGTACCGATTGCAACCGCGAATAATAAAATTTTTAACCGCGAAAGCAGAAACTGGGGAAATAAGGAACTTTTACTGTACTTCAATTTTACAATTAAGTAAAGGTCGATTCGCTAAATCGCATTAAATGTTCGTTCGAAACCAAACGTTTGCAATAAATTGTTTTTCCCTTTTTTGGTAATTGGGGCAATTAAAGTGGTTCTCTTTTTTTGCGTTAGGCATTTACGAATGTCAGGTCAATTTGCGAAGTGGTGGTTTTCCAACGGTAACGGCTGCTGCCAATGTTGTTGTCCTAGAAAAGCCAAAATTCGTTAGTAATACGCGTACAGAAACGTTAGGAGATTACGGGTCACAAATTAGTTTACCCTGTGACGTTGTTGGGATTCCGCCTCCCAAAGTCAAATGGTTCAAAAATGCGAACAACATCACTAAGGAATTACAAGACAAAAGGTAGGTTATCTCCAGCTTAATTTCAATTATTTAAATACAGCGAAACTTTCCTAATTCGAACCGTCTAATGTTCGAGGTAAAGAAAATTAAGAAAAATTTCTGCTTTACCGTCAAACCCAAATTACGATGTGATACAATGTATGAAATTCATTCGGGTTGCCTTCTAATTCCAACATAACCGCTGCAAAAAATGTTCAATTTGGAAAGGTTTTAAGTTGTAGAAGTTTGTGAAATGCCGGTAATTTAACAGAAACGTAGTAGTATTACAAATTATTTTATTTACTTATGCTTAGTAAAGTGCCTAACTTACTAATTTGTTAATTCTTCGAATTTTAAAAACATTTGTAAAGTCCTCTTTAGTTTAATCAGAACTTATTATATTTATTTCCTCCTTTTTTCTATTTTAATTGATAATATTTTTACCTTAAACAATATTTCCAGTAAACAAACTGTTGTTTTAAAACAAGATTTATCAAGTAGGGATTAACAAATTTATTAACCATTAACAATTGTCTGAAAATTATAGAAAATCTATTTTCTTCCGGTATAGTGAGTAATTTGTTATTATAGATACATCATCGAGGAAGATAATTCCCTTCTTATAAAAAAGTTAATGATAGGGGACTCGGGAATGTTCCAGTGTTTTGCGTATAATGATGCAGGTGAAAGTTCAATGTCTACGTGGCTGAAAGTGAAAAGTAAGTAATTAATTAATTCTTATGCGTATATACTACAATTTCTATAACAGAACATTTGGTTATTATTCATCAATATTTCTGATATTTGAAATAGCAGAACAAATACGGAAACGAAGAAGTTTGATGTCAACCAAAAGCACGCGATTAAGAGGCAGTCGACGAAACAAAAAGAATTTAATTTCTAGTAAGAAGTGTTTGCAATGCTTGACATCGCACTTGTAGAAGTAAAACAAAAAATAAATAATTTGTGCCTAACTCGTTTCTCACCAGAGAAGTGCAAAAACTGTTTTAAGTTTTCTTTAGAAGTTTTTCACTAGAAATGTACATTATATTTTTTATTTTAACACTTCTCTGGTTCAAAAGAGCAGTCGTAATGCTAGTCTTGCATACAAAGTTGTTTCGTATTATTTTCTGCACTTGTTACTTCTTATTTTAAATGGTTTGCACTGTTGAATTAAATACTAAAACATTGACTATGTTATCATGTTAATTATTGTAATTTTAACAGTTTGGAATAATAATTCAGATTTGGTATGTCATTTGTGTTTGCACAGTTCTTATATATGATATGATGTATGCAACTCAATTTTGTTTATAACAGTAAGTTATTATTATTGACCTATTTTGTTGCAAGTTTGTGCTGCATGGAAAATTGCCAAAAACAGATTTTTATTTATTGAAATTTCGCATCCCATAAAGACAAACTAATTGTGTTTATATAGGAAATCTACTAAATTGTTTTTAATTCCAAAAAATTATCCTCTAGCCTCCGAACCGGTAATGGAACAAAGTCCGCAAAACTTAACCGTTTTAGATGGAAAAGATGCCACCATAGTGTGTAGAGTTGTTGGGGCACCCACACCAAATGTCACATGGATTTACAATAGTAAGTACAAATTTTAGATTAAAAAAAATTGTACTTACAATTAGTACTTACGGTTAATGTTGAGTGCTGCATCAACAAGTAATAACAATTGTCTGTTTCATTCGTTTTCGTACGTATTTATTAACCACAGCCCGAGTCCTAAATTCCTTTGCATTCAAAAATAATCAGTATTTTGGTTTTGTCTAATAATCGATACTATTTTTAACGTAATTTTCCCATTAATTAATTTTCTTATGAAATAATTAATTGTGTCAAACAAAATACAGTTCCAATTAAAAGAGCTTTTATCTCTCTTTGGTATTCATTTTTTTTGTTGTCATAATTTCATTCTTTTGCTGATCCAAAACTTTTTAGAAAAAAGTTTTTCAAAACATATTACCGTTTATTTCAATATTGTACCAATCAGTGCCCACTAATAGCAAGTATAAATAAGTTGTGCTGCAGTGCTACTAATTTTATTTTAGACGACAATGAAGTAGAACTAAATAGTCGAATTCAAATACTTGAAACTGGAGATTTACTAATAGCTGCTGTACGTGAATCTGATTTGGGGTGGTACACTTGCGTCAGAGCTAACGAAGCCGGAGTTGTTAGGGGTTCCGCATATTTGGCGGTTTTGGGTAAGTTGTACATTGTGTAGCTTACATGCTTCCAAATAATAACTATACATTTTGTATTGCATCTTGGATAGATAAATTCTAACATGACGTTCCCTTTTAATTTACATCTAGATATACTTTTAGTATTCTGCACATATTGACACATCTACCTTTCATTTACTACCCTTTTCGCGTAAAAAATTCATTTATTCTAATGGCCGTGAGCCGTGTGGCTGGTCGACACGCACTCTTTTTTAAAAAAACATACCCCTACTCAACGTTTCTAAGCAAACATTTTTTCCAAATTGTTATTAAATATGTAGATGGTTACAATTATTATACCAACTTCTTAATCTTTATTTTAATAGTCAACAATTTTAAATCCTATTCTTTCATAAGATGTATGAGTAATGGTAGAAATTCTCATAATATGTTAGTTCATCAAAAAAATTTTCATACGTTTCCACCCAGAAATGTCTAAAATGGTCCTGTTTTATGATAAACAGTGTTAATTGGCTCTGCAAGACTATCACTATCTCTTAACTATTTCAGTAAGAACGCAAATTGTCCAGCCGCCTGTTGACACAAGAGTTCTTCTTGGTCACACAGCAACTTTACAGTGCAAAGTATCTTCAGATCCTACAGTTCCATATCAGCTTGATTGGTTTCGTGATAAACAGTAAGTCTAATTACTCACGAAGATCTATTTCGAAGTATTCTATTTGAATTTCCCTAGGTTAATAAATCCACTTGCCAGTTCCCGAATAAACGTCTTAGATGATGGGACTTTGGAAATTCAAGCGGTGCGAGCATCGGATGTTGGACAGTATACGTGTTCGGTTAAGTCACCAGGTGGAAACGAGACCAGAACTGCGAGATTGAGTGTAATAGAACTTCCATTTGCTCCAATCAATGTGAAAGCTTCAAAACTAGACACTCCAACCCAACGTGCCGTTAATGTAAGCTGGACACCTGGTTTTGATGGAAACAGTCCCATTTTAAAATATATCGTACAAAAAAGAGAAGTTCCAGAATTAGGTAAGTAATGGCTTAAGTATTTTTGTTTTTCATTGGGGGTCATCTTTGTTCTGTATATTGTATATTTAGTATATGTCGGTGAATTGTTTTGTTGGGAAGTCGGTTTGTAGTAATACAAATGTTTTATACTAAGAACAGTACCATGAATAATATCCATACAATTTTTACATTGCTCTGCACTGCAACTTAGAAGAAATTCCTAATGAAATAAATAACTTTAAATATTTTTTTTTAAAAATTCAATAGTATCTAATCTCACACTCTTTCCTCATTACTTTTTAATCCCTAGCACCTAATACCTTAATTATTTTAATTGTCTTAATTGTGCATGGTTCCAGTTTGCTAATTTTAAAAACTTTTGAAATAAATTTCATGTTCTAGTTTTTTAAATAGTTTATTAACAGGTCGTAACAAAATATTTTTGTACTAAATACACTTTCACTTCTTTTACAATTATCCCTTTTTTTATTCTTAGTATAAAATTTACGATAAAAAATTGGTAGTGGATCGTTGTACAATGTTTATTGTGTAAGTACATTATTATGTACCCAATGCTCATACACAGAGGAAAGATGATATTTTGCATGAGCATGTAACATATGTTGTTAATATTATTCAATACCTTTGCTGCTGAGCATTTATTTATAAAAAAAGTTGAAGAAGCTGTGTTAATTTGAAGATGAATATAATTTACTGTTTTTTAACAATTTTGAAGAGATTTTTGCTATCTTGAATCTGATCCAGTTGGGGTAAGTGTAGTAGTGCTAATGCTGTTTGTTTAGACATATATTGTCTTGTCTTAAATGTTGTAGTTTGCATAAAATTAATTGTTAGTAGTTTTTGCAAAAATATTTTGTGCTTTTTGTAGATAGTGTTCTGATAAGTTTACTCAGGGAGATATATATAACACTAATTTGAAAGCTGATGGGCGATATGAAATTCAACGGGTATCCTAACGTGAATTTTATTATTTTTTGTTTAGTTGATCATAATTATAATTCTTTTATGTACATTCACATACAAAATTAAATTTATAACAAAATTGCATAGTAGATGTGTAGATAATACACTTTGAAGTTGATATTTTTCTGAATGTAAATCTGGTAGCTACATACACATTCACATTACATTTATCGTTTTTGATGTGTGACACCTTATCGGTTGAGTGTAGTACCACCTATCATGAACTAAGTTCATGCGGCGGAAACGCGTTACAGGAAGTAGAGAAGGAGAAACACCCCGTTGTTCAATCTTCAATAGACAGTTGAGGCTTGAGAAGACAGAGAGAAAGAGAAAGAATACTCAGCTGTCAACCGTTCGATCTGCTAACGTGCTAACTACCAATCTTAAATACATACCAATGCAGCTGTTCTAAAATGCATTGTGAAATAATTATTACAATTTAAATTAAATAATATAACAATCAATACCCGATTCTAGATATTGCACACCATTAGCGACTAGTGTACGACTCGCTTTTTTATTTTATTTTATATTTGTTATATTTTTTTACAAAATTTATTCGAAATGTACAAAGAAAGTAAGTAATAAATAATTGTTTGAATGCTCTGATGATGCATGCTCATTTGTGCAAATCCCCGAATGTCTTTGTTATTTTGTCGGCATTTCTTAAACTACAGATTTTATTTGCTCCAGTAGTTCCTCCAATTCCAGGTCCCATACCTGACCCTCTTCTTAACTGGGTTACGGAATTAAGCAACGTCTCGGCAGAACAACGATGGGTTTTATTGACAAATTTAAAAGCTGCTGCTGCTTATCAATTTAGGGTGTCCGCCGTTAACAGCGTTGGAGAGGGAAGTCCTTCTGATCCTAGTAACCAAGTCATGCTCCCACAAGAAGGTTTGTTGTTATTTTTATTTCTGTTTTTATTTTAAAGTAGCGGTGTAAGATAGTAAAATTACATATGATGACATTTGCAAAAAGCTCTTCGTTAATCATTGCAAGATATTGCCGCAAGATGCTTATAATTTGCAACGATCAGCGCATTTTAGTTACTCTGTTTTCATTTAGCTAATCATAAGTGCTAAGTTCTGGATTATTTCAACCCATGTGGCGCCAGGAATTTTATTTTCCTACATCTTACATTTCTTAGATATTAAAATAAAATATGCGAAATAAAAAAGTACACCTCTACTTATTATAAAATGCGATAACTCTGAGCAGTACTTGTTTTTTAAACATTTCTTGTTGTCAGGAATATCACGTGAATTTCTATTTACAGGTGGGCAAATACACACTTTTGCATTTTTAATAACTTTTTAATTTGAATGTGTCATGCAATCTTATTATTATTTTTTCACATTATTTAAACTGTTTCTACTGCTTTGCATTATGAAAAATTCTTTTAATATTTTTTTTTGAAATGGTTTGCAAATCACATTTTCTGTGAACTCTTATGTAAATATATTTCTGTCAAAGCGCATGTGCTACTTTGTTCCAATGAATGTCGACAAGTCTTATGTTTCTTTTAAATTTTTATCACAAAATATTATAATGTAGCTCCTTCTGGACCGCCTGTGGGTTTTGTGGGTTCTTCTAGGAGTTGTTCAGAAATTATCACCCAATGGCAGCCCCCATTAGAGGAACATCGTAATGGACAAATATTGGGTTACATTATTAGGTATCGTCTGTTTGGCTATAACGAAAGTCCTTGGTATTACAGAAATATTACAAACGAGGTTTGTCTGTACTAAATAAAAGTGTTGTTGCGGTTTTATAACAGCATGTTTCTAGGCTCAGAGAAATTATTTAATAACTGATTTGATTACCTGGAAAGATTATGTAGTTCAAATAGCTGCTTACAATAATAAAGGAGTAGGGGTTTATACTGAAGGTGCTAAAATAAAGACTAAGGAAGGTGTACCCGAAGCTCCACCAATTGTTGAAAAAGTACAAGCACTGAATTCAACAACTGTAGAAGTTGTGTGGATCCCGCCAGATCCGCAAAAAATTAATGGAATCAATCAAGGATATAAACTGCAGGCTTGGAAATACGATAATGAAAGGGAAGAAAATGTAGAATATAAGAGAATGACTGTTCACCCAAATTTACTTGACCCACTTGCAAAACAAAGTGCTATTATGGACGGACTTGAGAAGTTTACTGATTATAACATAACGGTTTTGTGTTTTACTAATCCTGGAGATGGTGAAATAAGTGAATTCGTTTATGTAAAAACTAGCGAAGATGTCCCGGAGGAAATTTCTAATCTTCAGTTTGATGAAATAAGTGATCGCAGCGTTAAAGTTCTCTGGTTTCCTCCTAAGCAAATAAATGGGATACTGACGGGATATCAGGTCGTTTACGAAATAAAAGATAAACCTTCAACCCGTAAAGTTCAAAATTTAACTGCTGATACTTTAAGTATAAAAGTGAACGATTTGCAAGCTACGACACATTATAGATTCGAAGTAACTGCTTGGACGTCAAAGGGAGCAGGACCTCCTAAAGTTGCTATCATTCAATCAGGGGTTGAACCAGTTCTTCCTCATCCACCTTCCCAATTGGCTCTTAGTAACATTAAAGCGTTTTCAGTCGTTCTGCAGTTTACACCTGGTTTTGATGGAAACTCATCCATTTCAAAGTGGACAGTGCAAGCACAAACTGCGAGAAATTCAACGTGGTTTGTGGTTTATGAAGTGTCTGATCCTGATGCTACAACAATTACAGTGAGAAATTTGGTGCCATTTACCACTTACAGATTAAGATTGGTTGCTAATAATGTTGTGGGTGCTTCACAACCGTCTGAACCCAGTAAAGAATTCCAAACAATCCAAGCGGCTCCTTCAGATCCCCCAAAAAATGTTACAGTCAGGGCAATGAGTGCTACAGAATTACGAGTTAGATGGATTGTAAGTTGCTCCGTTTTTATGATAACATCAAAGTATAGGTTCCTGATTTTAGCCTCTTCAACAAATAGAATGGTTTGGAACTCCTCGTGGTTATAAAATATCATATGTGGAAGTTGGTACAGGGCATACTCGAACTGAAACCATTGAAGATCCGACCGCTAATTCCCATATAATTTCCGGATTAGAAGAATATGCTCTCTACGAAATTTTTATGGTGGCATATAATGATGTGGGAAGTTCTACAGAAAGTCCAAGGGCACTAGAAAGAACTAGAGAAGCAGGTTAATTCTACTTTACAATAATTAAACATTTATTTTATTGATTGTTGTATATTTATTTGACTTAAACTTTTTTAGTCCCTTCATTTGGCCCTATGAACGTTGAAGCAAATGCTACTTCTTCAACAACCATAGTTGTAAAGTGGGGGGATGTTCCAAAAGAACATCAAAACGGCCTTATTGAAGGATATAAAGTTTGCTATGGCTCTGGAACTTTAACTCAAAGAACAATTCCACAATGTAAAATAATTTCTAGTAATTCGTCGTTCACAACAACATTAACAGAATTAAGAAAATATGTGATTTACCATATTCAGGTCTTGGCATACACTAGATTAGGCGATGGAATTCCCAGTAGTCCACCTGTTAGCGTCCAGACATTCGAAGATAGTAAATATAGTTTTATATTATGATAATGATTTTGTTAACAGTTGCCAATTTATTTTTCAGCTCCTGGTGCCCCTTCTAATGTTTCATTTCCTGACGTTTCCTTTTCCTCAGCGAGAATAATTTGGGACGTACCAGAAGAACCAAATGGAGAAATTTTAGCTTATAGAGTTGTCTATCAATTAAATGATACCAGTATTAATTCCAAAAGATATTCTAAAGAATTTCCTCCTACTGACAGAACGTTTAGGTAAATAACCATTTTTGAAAATATCGTTGATGTATTACAATATATATTTTACTTTTTCTTTTCTTAGGGCTACACAGCTTTCTCCAGAAAAGTTTTATTTGTTTTCTGTAACTGCTCAAACTCGTTTGGGATGGGGAAATACTGCAAAGGTGCTTGTTTTTACAACAAATAATAGAGAGCCACCGCAGCCTCCATCAATGCCCCAAATAAGTAGAAGTCAGATACAGAGTAGACAAATTACATTTAGCTGGACTCCGGGTCGAGATGGCTTTGCACCTTTAAGGTAATACATTCATCTTTTTAAGAGAACAGGCTTTATTAATATAACTTTAGGTATTATACGGTTCAAAAGATGGAAAACCAAGGTCCGTGGCAAACAGTTCCTGAACGCGTAGACCCTCAAGTTACTTCTTACACCGTTACAAATTTAAAACCGTTTACTTCATATAAGTTTAGAATTCAGGCAAGAAATGATATTGGTCCCAGTAGATTTAGTGCAGAGTCTATCGAAGTTCGTACCTTCCCAGCAGGTAATATTCTTTTAAAATTGATAGTGTTTGTCGTTATTTGATTATTTACTATCTTAATCAGCACCCACAAAGGGAGTCAGTGGGCTTAAAGTTGTTCCAATTACCACCACGAGTGTTGAAGTGTACTGGGAACCAATTGACGAACAATTCTGGAGCGGTGATATAACTGGCGGTTACCGTGTAATTTTTCAACCAGTGTCTGATTTCCCAACAGCTTTACAAGCTACACCAAAGGAAGAAATTTCGGGAATTAAAGTACGAGAAATTAATTTTTTATCATATTTAAAATATAATCAACTTGATTTTATAGGCGAATCGGTTAGTTCTAAACAATCTCATGCAAGATAGGAATTATGAAATTGTGGTCGTTCCATTCAACTCTCAGGGAGAAGGTCCAGCTAGTCCACCTGTAACCGTTTATGTTGGTGAAGCAGTTCCAACGGGAGAACCTCGAGGTTTAGAAGGGGAAGCTGTATCATCCACAGAAGTTAGATTAAGGTGGAAACCACCCCAACAACATATGCAGAATGGAGAATTACTTGGCTATAAAGTAAAAACCTAAGCCCCATTATATATACGTTCACGCTTATAATTTATAAATAACTGTTTTAGATTTTCTATTTAGTGCTTAATTCACCCCAAGAAATTGAACCGGGAAAGAAAATTGAAGAAGAAATAGAAGTCGTTCCGGCCTCCTATACTTCTCATAGTTTAGTATTTTTGGATAAATATACAGAGTACCAAATTCAGGTATTGGCTTTCAATCCAGCTGGTGATGGTCCCAGGTCACAGTCAATCACAGTGAAGACCTTACAAGGACTGCCTAGTGCTCCTTTAAATTTACGCTTTATCGATATCACCATGAACAGTTTAAAGGTCATGTGGGATCCGCCAAAGAAACGAAACGGAGACATTATTGGCTACATCGTTACCTACGAAACTACGGAACAAAATGAAAGTTAGTAACATGATAAATTTAAAAAATATTAATGCACTGTGTTATATTGTTTATAGGATTTAGTAAACAGGTGAAACAAAAGGTGACAACAACTTGGTTAAATGTGCAATCGTTGGAAGAAGAAGTTACTTATACATTCACCGTAAAAGCTCAAACTTTAGATTATGGACCTCCTGTTAGCAGTAATGTTACCACTGGTCCTCAAGAAGGTTCTCCAGCGTCACCACGAGAATTAACTCTTGTTAGAACTTTATCCAGTATTGAGTTACATTGGTTAAACGGCCCTACAGGAAAGGGCCCCTTATTGGGATATTACATAGAATCAAGACGGAACGGTGAGTTATACGTTATACTCTATCAATGCTTTATTTAACATTTGCTTTCTCATATGGTGATATAATATCTCCTTTTTACTTTTAGATGATACCCGTTGGCAAACTGTCGCTAAGACAACCAATGGTCCACTTCAAGACTTCACCATTTCATACAGAAGCTTACTTCCTTCTACTTCCTACAATTTTAGAGTTATACCTTATAACAAATTTGGAATAAGTTACCCGGCTTATCCTGAAGAATCAGTTGTCACTCCCTCAAAATTATATTTAGAGTATGGTTATCATCAGCAAAAGCCATTTTATCGCCAAACGTGGTTTATGGTTGCTTTAGCCGCATTATCGGTCATTATCGTTATAATGGTCATTGCAGTTTTATGCGTCAAGAGCAAAAGTTATAAATACAAACGTAAGTAAAAAGTTTTTTAGATAATAAAAATTACTATGCACTGTTCCTTAATGATCGTAGAAGAAGCTCAAAAAACTTTAGAAGAGTCGCTTGCCATGGATCCAGAGGAACGTCACGAAGTTGCTATGGAACTTTATAGAGCAAGACATGGTAATAACGTTAATTCAATGGGAAATATCAGTAAAAGAAGCACGTTATCCAGAAAACCGCCTCATCATCCACCTCCTCCGGCTGTATTAGGTAAATCACCTCCAAGACCTTCCCCTGCTTCAGTGGCTTATCATTCTGATGAAGAAAGTCTAAAAGGATATGATGAAAATCCAGATGACAGTAGTTTAACGGAAAAACCATCAGAAATAAGTTCATCAGAATCACAAGTAAGTACTAAGTTAAGAATAGCTCTGAATGCACAATAATTGTATACACTTTTTTGTCTTTGCAGGGATCTGAAAGTGAAAATGAAAGTGTTCGAAGTGATCCTCATTCTTTCGTGAATCATTACGCGAATGTGAACGACTCGTTGCGACAATCTTGGAAAAGACAAAAGCCTGTTCGAAATTATTCAAGTTATACAGATTCTGAGCCTGAAGGTAGTGCTGTGGTGAGTTTAAACGGTGGACAAATTGTGATGAACAACATGGCCAGATCTCGTGCCCCCCTGCCCGGATTCTCTTCATTCGTTTGAGGGCGCAGTAAGTTTTAGGAATTTAACAAATTTTTAGGATAATTTTGTATTTTATCACTTGAGAGAATTTTTCGCATTTTGTTTGTCCAATTCCGACTTAAAGAAAAGTGAATTGTATAAGCACATTTGCTCTTTGCTCATGGTACTATAACAATAATAACAGTACGTTTCCTGTATAGATAAATGTTTGTGAGCACTTTTGTGTTCTTTATTTATTTAATTGTATAAAAGCGCTTATAAGACTGTTACGTTAATAATTCTTTATTAGTAAATATCGTTGTGCAAGCTGTACGTCATCGATTCTTCTTTGGTATAAAACGAATTTAATTTTTCATCATATGCTAAATACTTGACAAATGAATAGATTTCCATTCAAACTTTTTTCAAATGACTTCTTTTTCTAAAGTTGCATTTTATCCAGCAATAAATAACCTTTCATTAGGGTTGTATTTATTAATTTAGGAAAACATATTTTTGGTTTATGTAATTTTTCTGAAAGTTTTTTATTGAGCTGTGATATTATGAATAAAATGCAACAACTTCGAAAATAACAAATTATCATTTTGCGGTCCGTGTTATTGAAGCGTTACCAGACTGTAACAATTTAATACCAGTATAAAGTATATTGATAGTAAATTATTAGGAAATTTCACAGCAATTTATTATTAGAATCATTTAATTATTAAAATTTAAATAACGTTATTCAAGTAAAGTATAACAGCAAATGATGTTTATATATCGTTACGGAATTAAGCAACGNATTTCTAATTCGTGTTATTGCATGAATAATAGTCTTTTTATATGTATAGAAACGTCATGATGTAAATATGTGAAATTTTCCATTGACGTTCATCGTTGAAATAATAATATAAAGAAAATATGGATTTCTTGTATCTAAACATCATTACTTCTAATTCTAAATATTTGATGGATACAGTTATTATCTACAAACAAATCTGGTAGTATACTAACGATAAGGAATATTACATTTTTTTTTATAGAAATATATGTACAGAAATCCATTTTTTACTTAGTGCACTATATTGTAAATGTCCCTTTCATATTTGAAATGAACTAAAACTTTTGATACACTGCCTAATGTTTATATGCTCTTACATATATTTAACTTGGTCTTCTTTGTTTTGTAAAATAAACTGTGATTCTATGTTTAATGATATGTACAGGATGCGTATTTTTACACCTGTCCAAATATCATTTCCATCATTGTTTTAAAAAGATTGTCTTATCGCCACATTTCTTATACTTATGGGTGCGAAACGTGGGCGATGGGATGATCTAGTTTTCAGGAAATATAAGACTCGCTCAGGATAGAAAAAGGTAGAGGTGCGTGTCCAATCAGTCTTCGAACTGACGACCTTTATGATAATGAACAAAACAGTGAAATAATTGAAACATGTTGAAAATTACAGCACAAATGCGGGAGACAAAAAAGTTTATTTATAAAGGAAAAATAACAATATACATCACAATACCAGGTTTCTAGTTACAAGTTATTGAGCACTCATAATTATTAATATAGTCTAATAAATAAAAACAAATCAAACTATAAAAATATATAGCAACTTATTTACTTAAATATAAAGTTAATTTGATTGAATTAAGAATAATGTGATAGGTACAAACTATTTAGGACGGCAAGCTGCTATTCAAACTTTACCGTACATAGTACCAAAATATACCTACATCAATTTATTTGTGTTCACCAAATATCGGTCGTTGTGATAAAATTTGATTGTATATGAGAGCCAAAGTTTGTACTATTTACATAGGTACTTACTAAAATTTTCGTTTGTATTCTGTAATAAAAATTAATTGATCTACTTGTAAAAGCGCGCGACACTCGTTGAAAAAGTACTATCTACATGAACCTACTTTATAAAAAACCGTGAAGACGCACAGTAAAAAATTTCCTATTGGTAATGGTAGAAATGATTGCACAACTACAGTTCGTAACCGAATATTTACATCTACCACGATATAGATCACCCCCTCTTGAATTTCAAGACAAGTAAACTTATTGTNTAATATGTTTAAATTTTTGGTAATATTAATTATTCATAATTCATAAAAACATAGAAGGAAATGTGTAGCAAAATTGTATTTCATGCAAATTATATATGTAAGACTTCGAAGGGAATAGAGACTGTTTAAATGATGTTTATCGCAGTTGGGAATGCGTACAAAAAACGTTTGGTTGGTTTGACTAATAATACCACTGATACTCGAGCTGTGTCAGATCTTTGGTAAACTTCCTTCAGTAATAATTATCATGTCTTTATACATATAAAAAGAAAGGTCTTGATGGACTGACTCATCAACACCTAGGCTTCATCGTTGGACCTATACAGGTAGGTGAACTTTTACACCGAGGTTTCCGTTATGATATTTACAAGGAATAAGGATATTTCCAAATTCAATCCCTAAGGAGGTGAAAAGGGATGGCGAAGTTTGAAGGGAACATTTTTGTTTGTGGTCAGATTTATTTGAAACAAATTCAACCTCTCAAGGAGGTTAAAAAGGGTTATGCTCCGCAAAGGGACTGCTGGTTTATATATAATATATTTTATTAAATAATTACACCTGAGTAATGTTTAATAAATATGGAATATACTACGCTGACCTGCAGGATATACTATTATGAAATTTATATACAGTACAGTTATAATTAAAAAAAACAATTTCTTTGCCAACATGTAACTTAAACATATTAAAATTGACCACGAATTGTTTGTGTACCTAATTTGTTTGGTGAAATTATCAAAATACGTTGATCTTTTAATTTACAGAATTAGAGCGAAATATAAAATTTTCCCCTTATACCTTATATTTTTTAAATTAAAAAATTATTTTACATTCATTAAGTGAATATAACAGCGTGGCGTTATCTTTTTAATGTACTTCAAAATTTTAAAAAAGATATTTCTTCTGTATTTGTGTAACTGTATCCATGGTGCAATTATGGTGAAGCATGGTAGTATTTTTTAATAAATATACGTAGAAGTTTCAAGTACAAAATTTGTTACGAATACCCTACAATGGTACCATGAGCATCCGTACACATAAATAAAATTAATGTTAAATGTTAAAGATAAGAACAACAAAAAATTGTCTGTCTGCCTGTCTGTACGGACTATAATCTTCGACTTGACTGATTTCGATGAAAATTTACGAACAGATATTAATAGGTTGTCAGGTGTGATTTAAACTACTTTCTTTAAAATTGTTTGTTGGTTATAATAATTTTATTTTTACCTGGAAACCATAGGTACAAAGGTCAGTTAAATTAGCTCAAAAAGACATCAAAAAAGAGTAATTATAACCCAGGGTAATACCTACATAAAAGTTTTGATAAAGGTACCTATAAATAACAGGTAAATGAAGGAAATCTGCGAATTATCCAAAAATATTGAATGGAATTGTTGCTAAATTACACGCAAAACAAGTTTTTCGTTGATAACAAAAACTAGTATCAATTTTATTCTGAATTCAACAATTTATTGTAACTGAGAATTAAATAATTGTACCTATGTTAATTTTTTAAAAAGTTTGCTTGATCGTGAGTTAGTTCAATTAACAAGGTATTGATGAGATAAAAATCTGTAAAACATCATTCTGTTACATTGTAACGAGTTAAATATACTTATGCAATTTTCCATTGTTGTTGATTAAATAGGCGCAACATCGATAGAAACCTGTATTTATTCAATAAAAGTCACTAATTAATTATGGGAGAACGTTGATTTTGCGTACCCACTGAATCACTTTGCAGCGCTCTGTTCGTCTTTCACATTTCAAGGATTATTTAATTATGGCCTTGTAGCGCGCGTGGTAATCTAGTTTTTATTGCATTACCATTTTTTTGTCATTACAATTATTTATTATATTATGTTCGATATAAAGCCATTATTCTTATTCACCACCTTCGTTAGTAAGTGCAAAGTGCAATATATGTTGGAGTACGTAATGCAAAAGACATTGTAGATTAATTTCTAATAAATGATAGACGTATTCACAATTAATCATACGAGTAATTTATTCAAGCATGCACAGAAGCGAATTTTACTGTAATCTTTGAAAAATATTTGGTTAATGGAAAATGTTGACACTTTCACTTACACAAAAGGCATGTGGAAAGGGGTTCATAATTGCGTTTAGTTTATGCATGACAGTACACTCAAAAATAAATTGTAATGTAAATACCAAACAATTGGGGTAACTTGAAATAAAGATAGGACGTTTTACATTTAAGGATGTTTGGGAGGTATGTCAAAATGCTACGAGACAAATAAAAATTTGGAAGAATGATCCTCATTCAATTCTAAAACTCCTGTAAAAATTACAAATCGATTCACTAAACCGTTAAAAAGTTATTGAAATCTTAAAAAATTGTAATTTTACACGTCATTTTATGGAGATTCGTTAACCGAACAGATTAAATTTATTTTTTTAACAGAAAAAAATCTTCCAGAAATTTCAAACATTTATAATAAATTACTTGAACTCTGGAGAATCTCGTTTTTACTTGTTGATGACTTAATGATAATATTTATAATTGTCTGAAATAAATGCAATTTTAAAGTTTTAATTATTATTTAAACATATTAAAAAGTTTTACGCTCATTATTAATAAAGATTGAAACTAAATATTTTTTGTTTCGAAGTTGAAATCAAGGCATGTTCACTGCCAAAAGTCAGTTAAAAATTCTCCATATTATTCGTTATTTCTTATTTTATTCAAAGTTTTTGGTCAAATTCGAAATTTTCTCTCAAACCCTATACTTTTTTTAGTATAGATAGTATTTATTTACCTCACGATATGATGCAAAACCTTATTAATCACGAATTTCTAATTTTATGTACTCTTGTCTCCGATTGTACCTCCCAAACATCCTTAACTCATGAGCTTGTTGAAGAAAGTATACACTAGTGGCGAATTGCAAACCGAACATCATCTCTTTAAAATTACGACGTGGCATAGGGAAATTTGTGCCAATGAATTCAGTCATCTTCTCATATAAATAATAAAGTAATGTGTTAGGTGAATTAACTAAATCTTAGGAGAAGGAAGTGATATTTCCATATAAAAGTGATTGAAAAAACATTACATAGTTCCGCAGTTTCACCAAATCGTGGATTTTCCCTTTTGCAACGTAAAAAAAAATGCCGACAAAAAGTCTATTTTTTATGTGATGAAATATTTGTTATACCTGTATATCGATGTCCTCAAATATCATACGACATGAAGTTTAGGAAATTTACCTTTATTAAACGGTAGATGCAAGGAAAAATGCATGTATCACATTGGCCAATTGTACTTAATAATTATTGCCTTAATTTCAAATTAATAATGTTTATTGTCATTAATATTCTTACCATAAACAAGAAAAAATATGGAAAAACCTGCATTTTGAACTTAAAATAATATTTCAGCCATAAATAATGCAGACATAATTGGCTTGCAGGTTGACTCATCAAGTAATCTGTATTTTGTTTCAATTAAGTATATTCCACAAAATTTCCATAGTATATTTTTGGTTTATAATTGGAAAAATGAATGGTATCGATGAATCAAAGTTTAACTTTTCATAAACAAAACACTATGATCATGTACCTATAATATAGTTAAAAGCAATTTAACAGTAGTTTGGGTAGGTCGTAGGCATGTATCATAATATACTAAATTGAATTTATTAAAAAACAATGCGGGTCGATCGGCCGCACGGCTAGGCCGTTTGTGTTCAAAACCAGCGCCATAAAAATAAACGTGTTTTCGCCAAATTTTTATGTGAAAAAATTCGGGTTCTTGCAGGCGAGCATTTTGTGGTACTGTCCACATGGCTACAAGTTAATTTTTAGTTACTTAATTCATCAAAACTAACCACTAATACATTATCATGAGTGAATAATCGTGAGGAATGAATGATATAACTACAAAATTTGTATTTCCTTATGAGGTTAACAAATACTAAAATAAGTGTCATGCTCTGTAAAACATAATGTAATATATGGAATAATAACTGTAATTAGTTTCCATTAAAATGCGTTAGACTTATCATGTAGACATAGACTAACGTAATGAGAGAATTTACTTTCTCTTCCTAAATAGAAGAGATGAGTATCAAAATTATATTTTTTAAATTACTTAACTGCTGAAAACATAATAAAATACAAATTAAAATGATGTAAACAATGAATAACGAAGGTCATTAAAAGAAAGTATTATACGACGTTCAGGTGGAAGTTAGATACGTATGCATGAAAAGAAGCTTTTCCACCATGAGCCAAGCATAAGAGTCTTATCATGCGATTATGCTAATCACACTAATCATGAAAGGCAGCCTGAATATTACATCAATTTTACAACTTTATACTTAAAAGGAAGGAGGAAGTGAAATCGCATAAGTATCCTTCATTGGCGTGCACATTATCAAGCGTGCCCAGTTACTCGTTATTATTTTGTTACGTAATTAGTATTTACTACGTCTATTTCTCAGAAATCAAGCTACCTACATTTCTAATTGAATCGCAGTACATATTTGAGAAATATCACAATTTATAAGAGAAATATATTTGGTTACCAAAATCATAAATTTATATTTTTTCGTATGACAGGAGGATAAGTATTAAAACATCTTGTGTTGGGAAAAACTACCAAACGTGGATCTTATTAGATCCCGCCAGCACGCCATAAGCATCTCCGTAAATTCAGTTAGCAGCAAATATGTATTAGTAAATGGCAATGTTCTACCATAACATATTATTCAATAGAACATAGGTAGTAAAAATTCATAGGGCTTTCAGAGTGAGTTCACACAATCGTTGCTTCAATTTTGATAATTTTTTTAACTACTTTTTGTTATCAGGAGCCTCTTGATTTAAAACATTCGTTGCCACCACATAGAGTTCATATAAAAAATTGTTACTTGTAAGAAATTGATTGAAACTTTGTAATACAAATTTTACTAAGGCTTTTAAATGAAGCTAGAATATGCCATAACTGGACATAACTGACCAAAAATGATTGTTGACACTATTACTTCTGAATATGATAGATCGAAACGATTCGAGTTTTTTTGAGACTACTCGAAAAATAACGAAATTCTAATCATAACGTATATTCTTCGATTTTTCATTAGGTATTGTGTCACATTTTTGCCAATTACTCGAATTCATGCACATAAGCTCATCAAATGAAATATTTTAAGCGTTTAAATTAAAAAAAAATATGGTAAACTTTAGTAGATAATAAACTGCGGGGGAAACCGCGACAGGTAACCGTAAGTGGTGCATACTTTTTTGACACATTAATCATTTTTATCATTAATATTACATTGGTGAAATTTTATGGAATTCCCTACAGCAGTTTCATTGCATAACGATAAATAGGAAATAACTATTTTCAAAAATGACGTATTTCTAGCTACTTCTAATAACAAATAACACTTAGCCAATTTATAAAAACGTTTTCAATACCCGTATATTACGTGCTACCATATTCGAGAGCGGAACAGTCCAGTAAATCGTGTATGTACATATAACATGACTACAAACGTATGCAATATTATGAGTTAGTATAATACATTAAGCGACGAAGAAATTACTTTTATAAGGAAATACCTGCTTGTTACGATATTTAGAGAAAGTGTACGTATGAATACTGGCGAGCCACTACACTTGAAGTCGTAAAAGCATAGTATACACGACTGTGATGACCGTTTCATTTTGTTGAATGTTTGTGCTTGTTGTAAGCGGCAACTTCCGCAAAATTAAGGAAAACCCCATGTGTAATGCGTTATTTATTAGTCCACGTTGAAATCAACTTTTGTTCGTAAACATAAAGTCAACGCACTCATACCATTCGTACAAATACCTACTATACCCGTTTCTATTCAATATTGAATTTTAACTTTTAATTACGTTCGATTGTTAGCTTTACTTGCACCTTTTTGTAAATGTGTTTCTACCACGATGTTTTTATAGTAGTCCGGCACCTCCACCAAATTTGTCTATTTTTTTGTTTAAATACGGAAAAACAAAATAGAATGCTTTCACTTATGAAAATTTAACGAGAATAATAGTAGGGGAGACCGGGGATGCTTGACTAGTTTTTTACTAAATAGTTCATATNAACAAATCAAACTATAAAAATATATAGCAACTTATTTACTTAAATATAAAGTTAATTTGATTGAATTAAGAATAATGTGATAGGTACAAACTATTTAGGACGGCAAGCTGCTATTCAAACTTTACCGTACATAGTACCAAAATATACCTACATCAATTTATTTGTGTTCACCAAATATCGGTCGTTGTGATAAAATTTGATTGTATATGAGAGCCAAAGTTTGTACTATTTACATAGGTACTTACTAAAATTTTCGTTTGTATTCTGTAATAAAAATTAATTGATCTACTTGTAAAAGCGCGCGACACTCGTTGAAAAAGTACTATCTACATGAACCTACTTTATAAAAAACCGTGAAGACGCACAGTAAAAAATTTCCTATTGGTAATGGTAGAAATGATTGCACAACTACAGTTCGTAACCGAATATTTACATCTACCACGATATAGATCACCCCCTCTTGAATTTCAAGACAAGTAAACTTATTGTTAAGAATGCCACGATCCAAATGATGGTAGAAATAAAGCCCAAATATACGTCAGCTTCAGCTATGCTCCAACCCCTGGTCAACATTGACCGCAGTGATGTTGTGGCCAACGTCAATGGCAAGAAGGTGGCTATGTACCTTAAAATGCCGGGCATACCTTCTATAGGCCAGATCACTCCGCTAAGAAGTAGAGTGGGATAGAAACTACCCAGTGCCAATTGAATGGCATTTCTTTCCAGTTCACAAACTGCTGATATCACGAATCCGAAGCACATACCACACAATCCTTGGAGGATTGTAAGTGTTATCACCCATCCTATGTCCCCTTTGCATTGTACACCAAACACCAGTATCATGAAGATTAAGACAAGTGCCGTTTGTCCACACATGACCACAAATTGTGTCATCACATGGGAGAAGAGGATTTCAGCCGGCGTCACTCCTATAAATGGTGAGTAATTTTTAATTATTTCAAAGGTTCATTTTAATTGAATGCACAAGGGATTGCCAATTTTAAATTGTGTTAAAGAAATAATTTACCTGCTACCCATGATCGATCCAGTAAACCTTCCATTCTTTCGATGATCAGTGCTGACGACGTAAGGGCCACAGCCAAGAAAAATACAATTCTAAAAGATTAAAGCATTCATTAACATTTTATTTAAGTATAAGTTTTTGCTTTATTTACGTTAAAATAACTCCAGGTGCAACGAAGTCTGTAAATGAAGGCTCACTTGAGCCATAAATTGGCTTTTTGAATGTGATCGGAATTTCTGCTATTTTAGGATTTGTATCGCAAGCTTCCAACAAATCCTTTGCAAAATCTTGATAACTTAGCTGCAAATCTCTTTGTAAGATTATTCCTATCTGTTGATCTATAAGAAGAAACGAATATAACACGATATATCATGCCATATAAAATTAAACGCACTTGACATGTCCAGCCAAACTCGTATTTCACTTTGGTCCAAAGTTTCTTCATCAGAATCCTTTCCAAGTGCCATCCTCGCTACTAATGCGTCTGTAAAGTTTTCGGTAAAATATAAAGCGCCCCAGGCATGTCCTGTTTTAACAGCTTCTATAGCACTGTCCGGATCAGGATAATAATTTTTTATTATCGTATTATTTCGTAACAGGTGTAAATATCGACAACTAAGTCTCGAAAATTTACATCCCGGTTCGTAAGTACAATTTTGGTATGTTAAATTGGTATAGTTGACTTCGTGGTTCACAATTGCTAGTTTTAAACCTGTAGGGTCTCGACCTATGGCCATACAGAAAAGAATAACTTGCATAACAGGGAGGGCGAATATGAACAACATCACTCCCACGTTTCGCCACATCCTCAAGAAATTTTTCTGCAAAAGTGCTCTCATTTTTCCCATTGTAGTCCATTGGGAACAATCTGTACAATCGTCACATACTTGCGACATTTCTGACTTTGTTGCAGCCTTTCCATTTAACTACAAAAAAAGCAAAACAGAAAATAAAATAACGAATTTTCTTAAAATAGTCGAGGTACTTACACCTACATCTACATGTCCATTGGCATCAGTAATGAGTACTTCCTTGCTCTGGTGGAAATTTAATCCAACAACCCCGCTTTCCTCCGTGACATAGACTGAATCTTTTTTACCCCAATTAATTGTAGCTAAACTAATATTATTGCTAATGTTCGCTTCATTATTAGAACCATTTGCTTGTCCTTGCTTCCTAGAGAGCTTTAAGAAAACTTCTTCCAAAGATTGGCAGTTATAAATTGAAAGAAGAACATGTGGAGATTCTTCAGCTAATAGTTTTCCACTTCTCATAAGCCCAATCTGGTAAAAGAAATAAAACGTCTATTAGTTTCTATTAATAATTGAAATAACTTTTTCAAATGGTTGTAACAATATTGATCACTATAGCTTCTTTTATTTCTTTAAAACCACTTGTCATGTTTGGATAAAATATGACCTTTATTATTTTTTTATGTTCTAATACAAAAATGTATGCTTCCAAGTTAAACACAAAACAACGCCAAGTAAACATATTTTATGTTAACAGCTGTTTAATCGTCAAGGTAAAGTTAAAGCAAAGAGTATAAATTGTTTATTTTGCGTTTGACTTTATTTAATAATTCAAGGGCTTTTATTTTAATTTTCCACTTTTATTGTAAAAAAATAATTTACCGTGTGAGCTTGTCTAGCCTCTTCAATGTAGTGTGTTGTAATAATTACAGTTTTGTTTCCATCTTTTGTAATTTGTACTAAATGATTCCATATGCTTTGTCTCAGCAATGGGTCCACCCCTACAGTAGGTTCATCCAGAATTAAAAGTTCTGGGTCGTGCATTAAGGCAACGGCAAAAGAAACTCTTCGTTGTTGTCCGCCACTAAAATTGTATTTCATAATTAATGTTAACTAAAAAAAGAAAACAATTTACAACTTGCAATAAGAATTATTAAAAAAAAGTTTGATAGTAATAGAAAATATGACCATTTGCGCAATGCGAAGTAAGACAGCCTTATAAATCACCCTATACATGTTTGTCATGGTTTATAAGCGTTGGCTATAGTTTAAAGATTAATAATTACAAAGAAATTTTATTTTCCCTTGAACTTTTTAAATGTAAAAAGAGTAAACCAAAAATTTTCCATTTAAAAAGTATTTTCTGTACTATTCCATATAAAGAAGCATTCTGTTGAGTAATTCTTTTAATTATCTGCAGTGGTATTTTACATTCAATTAGTGTTCTTATTTGGGATAAAAAACATGTACCTATTGCACGCATGTGAATGTTGTTTAAAAGTAAACAACATTCTGGAAGCTAAATTAATTTGCATAAAACATTTACTTTCATAAAGCTAGCTATCCAATGTAGGAGGCGTATGTAGTTAAATTTTAGAAACACATTACAATAGCATGTACAAGACAAACTAGTTTTTTGACCTAGGTTAATACGGTATTAGTTGCCCATATTCTTATTGAATAATCAGTTAAAGGAATAGGTAGGCGGGTCGCTTTAAAACAACTGAGATATTTTCCACTGACATTGACCTGCTTACATCAAATTCACAAGCTTATAATGGAAATAATGATTGGCCAAAATAACCGAAGAGGTACGTACATAGTTTACTGTTCTAAATTGTTATAAATAAAATCGCGAAATATCCTTCACATAATATAAAAGTTGGTACCTATAGGTACCAATTTTATTTACCTTGATCTGTAGGCGCCTTGTTCAGAAAATGTATGATACTTAAAATCAATTAGCAATTTTATTAAGTATGGTGAGCTTAATTTAAGTATGTTTAAGTGATATCTTGTCTTATTAATCGTAAGCTTTATAGGAAATGGTCATTCTCATAAAAAAATTAAATTAATTATGGAAAGATAGGTACCTCAGATTCTTAACCAATCTATTTTGACTAGGCAAATCTAAGAAATTAAGCAGAAATTGCAGTCTTTCGTTGATCTCCGAGGTATGCATGCCAAAAATCCATCCAAAATACATCATCGTTTCTTTGATGGAGAACTCCCCGTAGAGAGCAATTTCTTGAGGCATGTAGCCGACTCTTTTTCCCGGCACTCCCGACCCTTTTGTTCCTGGCTTTCCCCCGAGTACCCATATTTCACCCTCATTTAGTCTGCGGCGACCTACGATACACGAAAGAAGTGTTGTTTTTCCACAACCCGAAGCTCCCAAAAGACCATATCTGTAAAAGAAATAGTTAATATTACATTTTTTTACTTGTTTAAGTTAGTTTTGATATACTTAAGATCTATATCTATATTTCGTTTATGGCGTTAAATATTTTAAATACATTCACCAGAGGAAACGGAATACAATAATATATCAAATTTTTTATTGTTGGTTATTTACAATCAAATTGTAGACAATATTTGTTAAAACGTACCTGTGCTATTCTTAAAATATTAATATTCAAAGTTAATTTTTTCTTCAATTCAAATTTGTTTTTCAAACCTTTTTACCATTTCAGTTTCTCTTAACATTTTTAAATTTGGCGCTTTACTTATAGAAGTGTTTCCCTTTCGTGATCAGCGATACCAAAACAATGTTCGGCATAAACCTAATCACGACAGTCTTTTGTCTCTTCTCATTTATTAAAATCATGGGCATTATGTAAACAAAGTAAACTATAACTAAACGATAAGTAATGTATCATTTCCTACAAAGTAATTTATTAAAAAGGTGCCTAAAAATAAAACAACTATTTTGGGTAAAGGGTAAATTGTTTAATGTCACTGGAATTTTGTGACAGGTTAGTTCACGACCAGTTTACGACATTCGACATTTCCCTGTATGAGTGAAGCTTGCTTCGAGGATACCTCGTGTTATCGTTGAACAATTTATTGGTGCATTTTTAAGTGAATTAATATTTCGTGGTTTATGTTATCATAATTGTGATCGAAGTAAAATATCCATTCAAATTGTTAGGCGCATAATCGATCAGTAAAGAGTGCTATTTAAAATCATGGTACACTATCAGGTTAGGCTATCCTGAAGACAATTTTTACTTTTCGTCATGTCTGATGGTTGCCTAAGATGTACATTGGGTTAGTATACAACAACAGGCGCAACAAGTTGTTCTTACTAGAACATTATTCTTCTATTAAGGACTTTAAGGTGATTAATCGCGGGTGTTATTTTCTTGATGAGGATTATGTTAATGAGAATGGTGAAGAGATTCATGGCCCCGCTGAAGGAACTTCGTACATATACGCACCGAAGTTTATAAGGTTAGTTTTTTAATTTTTTAAATATCAGCTTTGATTTAAAATCGCTTTATAAGGTTTCTACTAATCAAGTTCTTAATTTTTGATGTTAAATATATTTTCTATATTTCTCATATAGTAGTATAGATAATGAAGATCTTTCGTATGAGACATTTTACTATTATTATATATACTTAATCGTGAGATTACAACCAGCATACAAATTCAATGTACATAGATAATTAATTGTTTAATATGTTTAAATTTTTGGTAATATTAATTATTCATAATTCATAAAAACATAGAAGGAAATGTGTAGCAAAATTGTATTTCATGCAAATTATATATGTAAGACTTCGAAGGGAATAGAGACTGTTTAAATGATGTTTATCGCAGTTGGGAATGCGTACAAAAAACGTTTGGTTGGTTTGACTAATAATACCACTGATACTCGAGCTGTGTCAGATCTTTGGTAAACTTCCTTCAGTAATAATTATCATGTCTTTATACATATAAAAAGAAAGGTCTTGATGGACTGACTCATCAACACCTAGGCTTCATCGTTGGACCTATACAGGTAGGTGAACTTTTACACCGAGGTTTCCGTTATGATATTTACAAGGAATAAGGATATTTCCAAATTCAATCCCTAAGGAGGTGAAAAGGGATGGCGAAGTTTGAAGGGAACATTTTTGTTTGTGGTCAGATTTATTTGAAACAAATTCAACCTCTCAAGGAGGTTAAAAAGGGTTATGCTCCGCAAAGGGACTGCTGGTTTATATATAATATATTTTATTAAATAATTACACCTGAGTAATGTTTAATAAATATGGAATATACTACGCTGACCTGCAGGATATACTATTATGAAATTTATATACAGTACAGTTATAATTAAAAAAAACAATTTCTTTGCCAACATGTAACTTAAACATATTAAAATTGACCACGAATTGTTTGTGTACCTAATTTGTTTGGTGAAATTATCAAAATACGTTGATCTTTTAATTTACAGAATTAGAGCGAAATATAAAATTTTCCCCTTATACCTTATATTTTTTAAATTAAAAAATTATTTTACATTCATTAAGTGAATATAACAGCGTGGCGTTATCTTTTTAATGTACTTCAAAATTTTAAAAAAGATATTTCTTCTGTATTTGTGTAACTGTATCCATGGTGCAATTATGGTGAAGCATGGTAGTATTTTTTAATAAATATACGTAGAAGTTTCAAGTACAAAATTTGTTACGAATACCCTACAATGGTACCATGAGCATCCGTACACATAAATAAAATTAATGTTAAATGTTAAAGATAAGAACAACAAAAAATTGTCTGTCTGCCTGTCTGTACGGACTATAATCTTCGACTTGACTGATTTCGATGAAAATTTACGAACAGATATTAATAGGTTGTCAGGTGTGATTTAAACTACTTTCTTTAAAATTGTTTGTTGGTTATAATAATTTTATTTTTACCTGGAAACCATAGGTACAAAGGTCAGTTAAATTAGCTCAAAAAGACATCAAAAAAGAGTAATTATAACCCAGGGTAATACCTACATAAAAGTTTTGATAAAGGTACCTATAAATAACAGGTAAATGAAGGAAATCTGCGAATTATCCAAAAATATTGAATGGAATTGTTGCTAAATTACACGCAAAACAAGTTTTTCGTTGATAACAAAAACTAGTATCAATTTTATTCTGAATTCAACAATTTATTGTAACTGAGAATTAAATAATTGTACCTATGTTAATTTTTTAAAAAGTTTGCTTGATCGTGAGTTAGTTCAATTAACAAGGTATTGATGAGATAAAAATCTGTAAAACATCATTCTGTTACATTGTAACGAGTTAAATATACTTATGCAATTTTCCATTGTTGTTGATTAAATAGGCGCAACATCGATAGAAACCTG